CTTCGTTGTTGCTTTATCTTCACTGCAGGACACAATGGCGGACACACTCTTGTTCGGGTGTTCATACTCAATATTCACACTGATCTCACTTTCTGTGCGGTCAGTTATCTATGGGCTGGTCCTGCTGAGGGAGACAAGGGAGGCACGGGTCAACGTGAGGCAAGAGAGAGGTGAGGAGGAGGAAATCTTAGATGAAGGCAAGAGCAAAGCGAAAGATAGGGACGGGATAGGTGTAATAAAGGAAGTAATAGGAGTAAGAATGGGAACGTAAGATAAATAGGGGAACGAAAAGGAAAGAGTAAAAATGATGGGTAGGGTTATGTTAGGTCACGTTTGTTAGAAAGTTTAGAACATTTGAGTATATACTGTGAAAGGGAAGAGTCTACAGCAACAAAGCCAAGACATGGCTTTGTTGGGTAGGTTGTGTATCAGAGCTGATTCGACAAGACGGCGTCTTTGTAGAGTAGAGGCAGGAAAGAATATTTTACGAGAAGATCAATCAATAGGATGATTAGAATTCCAAACATGACAGAAGAGAGCATTGTTTGTGACTGCAGACTTAACACTTATTTTGTGTTCCTTTAGTTTGTTTAAAGTGTACGGCTAGTTTCCCCAAGTACTGGAGAGGACAAGACAAACAGGAAATAACGTAGACACCAACAGTATTAGAAGCTGGAGAAGTGTGAACAAGACATATTGTTCAACTGATGTATACCCGCTGACAGCACGCGAGGAAGACATGTTGTACCACTGATGTATACCCGCTGACAGCACGCGAGGAAGACATGTTGTACCACTGATGTATACCCGCTGACAGCACGCGAGGAAGACATGTTGTACCACTGATGGTACAACATGTCTGAGCAGCTTCAGACATGTTGCTTCCGACATGCTCCAGCTGAGCATGTCGGAGCAGCTTCCCCGCTGACAGCACTCACATACTGGAATTCCAACATACGCTCAGCTGACTCCTGACCGAAATAGAGTTATGGATAAGCATGAAAAATTTGTCTTTAATAATGTTAAACTTCAAGATCTCGTATATCACGCTTTTCCATCTTAATTTTTCTTCTTCATGAAGCTGTTTTTTTAGATGATTATCTCGGGTCGTTGAATATTTATCAAGGACGGAACATTTGGTGAGCGGGTTGAGTGCGGGCCGGGAGTGTGGCCCACTCTGCCTCTCTCCTCCTGGCCACTGTGGGCCATAATGACACTAACTATCACCCGCATCAAGTTTGAGACCAGCATTCTGCATGACAACGTCATATATTCCCTCAGTATTACTGCGGTCGCCTCAACTAGTACGTTTTTAGTCTTGATTATGCGGCCAACAGACCTTGTATACTGTTGCAAATCTGAAGTGATTCGAGTGGCAGTGCTTACTCGCACTCGGAGTCCCCGCGGGTTCCTAGTGCAGGTACCCGCGGGTTCCTGGTGCAAGTACCCGCGGGTTCCTGGTGCAGGTACCCGCGGGTTCCTGTTGCAGGTACCCGCGGGTTCCTGGTGCAGGTACCCGCGGGTTCCTGGTGCAAGTACCCGCGGGTTCCTAGTGCAGGTACCCGCGGGTTCCTGGTGCAAGTACCCGCGGGTTCCTAGTGCAGGTACCCGCGGGTTTCTAGTGCAGGTACCCGCGGGTTCCTGGTGCAAGTACCCGCGGGTTCCTAGTGCAGGTACCCGCGGGTTCCTGGTGCAAGTACCCGCGGGTTCCTAGTGCAGGTACCCGCGGGTTCCTGGTGCAGGTACCCGCGGGTTCCTGGTGCAAGTACCCGCGGGTTCCTAGTGCAGGTACCCGCGGGTTCCTGGTGCAAGTACCCGCGGGTTCCTAGTGCAGGTACCCGCGGGTTCCTGGTGCAAGTACCCGCGGGTTCCTAGTGCAGGTACCCGCGGGTTCCTGGTGCAAGTACCCGCGGGTTCCTAGTGCAGGTACCCGCGGGTTCCTGGTGCAAGTACCCGCGGGTTCCTAGTGCAGGTACCCGCGGGTTCCTGGTGCAGGTACCCGCGGGTTCCTAGTGCAGGTACCCGCGGGTTCCTGGTGCAGGTACCCGCGGCTTCCTGGTGCAGGTACCCGCGGGTTCCTGGTGCAGGTACCCGCGGGTTCCTAGTGCAGGTACCCGCGGGTTCCTAGTGCAGGTACCCGCGGGTTCCTAGTGCAGGTACCCGCGGGTTCCTAGTGCAGGTACCCGCGGGTTCCTATTGCAGGTACCCGCGGGTTCCTGGTGCAAGTACCCGCGGGTCCCGCCAAGTGGGAAGCTGCTGCAAAACATCATCTCTGGTTCCCTGGGGTAGAGTGCCGTCTCCGTGGCGGCAGCAGCCCCGGAGTTTGTGCCTTCATCAATGTGTGGTTGTTGATGGCGTTACAGGAGCTGGAGGAGGACTTTCATGCTGGTGCAACACGCCCTTCATGGCCGCCCTCGCACGGTTTGGTGTTCTCATTTGTAAATAATTTGTTTATTGCTGCGTGTGCAGCGTCACATGAGCGGGCCACTGACACACTCTGACATGTGACGTAAGAACCGTTATTCTAAGGACTATTTTGAGCGGCGTTACCTCAAAGAGCTGTCGCAGAGAGACCGCATACAGCCCCGCTCCTGTGCCGGGTAAGTCCACTACGGGGTCGCCATAACCCGTGATGCTTGGAACTTTTTGTTCCCAGTAGCTGAAACTAAAACAAAAACATCAACAGCAGCGATAGTTAGTACGAAACATTATTACTAGTTGAGTGAAGCGACACTTAGTCTACTGCAGGTCGAGTTCCGCAACACTCACAGCCTGCCACAACACACACAGCCTGCCTCAACACACACAGCCTGCCACAACACTCACAGCCTGCCACAACACACACAGCCTGCCACAACACTCACAGCCTGCCACAACACACACACAGCCTGCCACAACACACACAGCCTGCCACAACACACACAGCCTGCCACAACACACACAGCCTGCCACAACACACACAGCCTGCCACAACACACACAGCCTGCCACAACACTCACAGCCTGCCACAACACTCACAGCCTGCCACAACACTCACAGCCTGCCACAACACTCACAGCCTGCCACAACACACACAGCCTGCCACAACACACACAGCCTGCCACAACACTCACAGCCTGCCACAACACACACAGCCTGCCACAATACACACAGCCTGCCACAACACTCACAGCCTGCCACAACACTCACAGCCTGCCACAACACTCACAGCCTGCCACAACACTCACAGCCTGCCACAACACTCACAGCACAACACTCACAGTCTGCCACAACACTCACAGCCTGTCACAACACTCACAGCCTGCCACAACACACACAGCCTGCCACAACACTCACAGCCTGCCACAACACTCACAGCCTGCCACAACACACACAGCCTGCCACAACACTCACAGCCTGCCACAACACTCACAGTCTGCCACAACACTCACAGCCTGCCACAACACTCACAGCCTGCCACAACACACACAGCCTGCCACAACACTCACAGCCTGCCACAACACTCACAGCCTGCCACAACACTCACAGCCTGCCACAACACACACAGCCTGCCACAACACTCACAGCCTGCCACAACACTGCACAGCCTGCCACAACACTCACAGCCTGCCACAACACTCACAGCCTGCCACAACACTCACAGCCTGCCACAACACTCACAGCCTGCCACAACACTCACAGCCTGCCACAACAATCACAGCCTGCCACAACACTCACAGCCTGCCACAACACACACAGCCTGCCACAACACTCACAGCCTGCCACAACACTCACAGCCTGCCACAACACTCACAGCCTGCCACAACACTCACAGCCTGCCACAACACTCACAGCCTGCCACAACACTCACAGCCTGCCACAACACTCACAACCTGCCGCAGGTCGAGTGCCGCAGCATGTAGAGGGCGTGAAGGACGCAGGATCATTATTCGCGGGTTTAACTTTACACGTGTGATGGCAGCGTGACCATCCTGGCGTGACACGTGTGATGGCAGCGTGACCATCCTGGCGTGACACGTGTGATGGCAGCGTGACCATCCTGGCGTGACACGTGTGATGGCAGCGTGACCATCCTGGTGTGACACGTGTGATGGCAGCGTGACCATCCTGGCGTGACACGTGTGATGGCAGCGTGACCATCCTGGCGTGACACGTGTGATGGCAGCGTGACCATCCTAGCGTGACACGTGTGATGGCAGCGTGACCATCCTGGCGTGACACGTGTGATGGCAGCGTGACCATCCTGGCGTGACACGTGTGATGGCAGCGTGACCATCCTGGCGTGACACGTGTGATGGCAGCGTGACCATCCTGGTGTGACACGTGTGATGGCAGCGTGACCATCCTGGCGTGACACGTGTGATGGCAGCGTGACCATCCTGGCGTGACACGTGTGATGGCAGCGTGACCATCCTAGCGTGACACGTGTGATGGCAGCGTGACCATCCTAGCGTGACACGTGTGATGGCAGCGTGACCATCCTGGTGTGACACGTGTGATGGCAGCGTGACCATCCTGGTGTGACACGTGTGATGGCAGCGTGACCATCCTGGCGTGACATGTGTGATGGCAGCGTGACCATCCTGGCGTGACACGTGTGATGGCAGCGTGACCATCCTGGCGTGACACGTGTGATGGCAGCGTGACCATCCTGGCGTGACATGTGTGATGGCAGCGTGACCATCCTGGTGTGACACGTGTGATGGCAGCGTGACCATCCTAGCGTGACACGTGTGATGGCAGCGTGACCATCCTAGCGTGACATTGTGTGTGCAGTAACGCACCTGGTAGTTCCCGTCCTGTTTAATCCCTGATTATTGCAGTGTTTAGTAAACATTATAACAATAATGAACAATAATGATCGAGGTGAAGTTTTTAGGTCAGAGGTTTATCTCTTCCGTTTATATTCTGTGTTCTCACTTACATTTAATTCGTGTAAAAATGTAATAATTATGGCTCGTGACGGCACAGTGTAGTGCAAGGTCTAGATTATTTGCAACTCAAATCATGGTAAACCGAGAGAAATGTATACAACTCATTGTGAGTAAATGTTTATAACAGTTATTTCGGAGGAGCAGGAGGAGGGAGAGGAGTGAGGCTGAACCACGACCACAACACGAGCTCTGCTTCACCTCATTGTTCACACAGGTGCTCTGCTTCACCTCATTGTTCACACAGATGCTCTGCTTCACCTCATAGTTCACACAGGTGCTCTGCTTCACCTCATAGTTCACACAGTTGCTCTGCTTCACCTCATTGTTCACACAGATGCTCTGCTTCACCTCATAGTTCACACAGGTGCTCTGCTTCACCTCATAGTTCACACAGGTGCTCTGCTTCACCTCATAGTTCACACAGATGCTCTGCTTCACCTCATAGTTCGCACATATGTTCTGCTTCACCTCATAGTTCACACAGGTGCTCTGCTTCACCTCATAGTTCACACAGATGTTCTGCTTCACCTCATTGTTCACACAGATGTTCTGCTTCACCTCATAGTTCACACAGGTGTTCTGCTTCACCTCATAGTTCACACATATGTTCTGCTTCACCTCATAGTTCACACAGGTGCTCTGCTTCACCTCATAGTTCACACAGGTGCTCTGCTTCACCTCATTGTTCACACAGATGTTCTGCTTCACCTCATAGTTCACACAGGTGCTCTGCTTCACCTCATTGTTCACACAGATGTTCTGCTTCACCTTATAGTTCACACAGGTGCTCTGCTTCACCTCATTGTTCACACAGATGTTCTGCTTCACCTTATAGTTCACACAGGTGCTCTGCTTCACCTCATAGTTCACGCAGATGTTCTGCTTCACCTCATAGTTCACACAGATGTTCTGCTTCACCTCATAGTTCACGCAGATGTTCTGCTTCACCTCATAGTTCACACAGATGTTCTGCTTCACCTCATAGTTCACGCAGATGTTCTGCTTCACCTCATAGTTCACGCAGGTCCTCTGCTTCACCTCATAGTTCACGCAGATGTTCTGCTTCACCTCATAGTTCACGCAGATGCTCTGCTTCACCTCATAGTTCACGCAGGTCCTCTGCTTCACCTCATAGTTCACGCAGATGTTCTGCTTCACCTCATAGTTCACGCAGGTGCTCTGCTTCACCTCATAGTTCACGCAGATGTTCTGCTTCACCTCATAGTTCACGCAGATGTTCTGCTTCACCTCATAGTTCACGCAGATGTTCTGCTTCACCTCATAGTTCACGCAGATGTTCTGCTTCACCTCATAGTTCACGCAGATGCTCTGCTTCACCTCATAGTTCACGCAGGTCCTCTGCTTCACCTCATAGTTCACACAGATGTTCTGCTTCACCTCATAGTTCACGCAGATGTTCTGCTTCACCTCATAGTTCACGCAGTTCCTCTGCTTCACCTCATAGTTCACGCAGATGTTCTGCTTCACCTCATAGTTCACGCAGATGCTCTGCTTCACCTCATAGTTCACGCAGGTCCTCTGCTTCACCTCATAGTTCACGCAGATGTTCTGCTTCACCTCATAGTTCACGCAGGTGCTCTGCTTCACCTCATAGTTCACGCAGATGTTCTGCTTCACCTCATAGTTCACGCAGATGCTCTGCTTCACCTCATAGTTCATACAAATGTTCTGCTTCACCTCATAGTTCACACAGATGCTCTCCTCATATCTCATTATCTCACTCAGTGCAGGTAGTGAACGTGTATTAAGAAGACCGACTAATATCTTATAAAGCCCACTGTTACAAAATATCACATTAAACCCATTATTTTCACGCCTCGGTTGCCGCCTTGGCCGATCCAGTCTTTTTGTTACTTCCGAAAGTTGTGTTGGGGGAGAGTGTCGAACACTGCTGGTGCTACAGCGGTCCCTGAGAGGCCGGTGCTGCCGTGTAGGGAGTCACTAGGCGAGGATAAGGGAGGCCAGTCGTGGAAGAGCGGGTCTGCAAGTGATAGAGAATATAGGAATTAGGAAGCACCTCGGTAGACCAGCCCATACTTGGCTAATCTGTTGAAATCAGCCCCCCCCCCCTCTCACCACTGTCTACCCGGGCTATTCATGAAACCTGATAAACTGTTTGCATCAGTAATACTAACCTGCAACCATTCCTCTCATCCATATATGTTATACCATAACAGTACTTCCCTATAGCCCTCTTAAACAACATTTCTATAGCTTGTACCCGCTGTTACGGGTTCCAACATGTTCGGACAGTATCAGAAGCCTGAGTGTATGTCCCCTTGTTTATGCCTCTAACCCAATTAAAAAACTTCATATATATATATATATATATATATATATATATATATATATATATAAACAAGCCTGAATGGTCCCCATATAAAACTCACACCCCAGAAGTGACTATATATATATATATATATATATATATATATATATATATATATATATATATATATATATATATATTACCTTGATAATTCCCCCCTTCCCCGTTGTCCTCCACCTTCAGCGAGCACTTCAATCTCCCCCTCATAGGAAAGGTCCCCTGTAACAGGTATCGTCCTTGTCAACCTTCTCTGTATTTTCTCTTGAGTCTTATGGCCATTCTGAGACACGGCGACAATAGCCGCACAGCGTAGTCCAAGTCGGGCGCCTCAGTGCTAGATATAGCTGAAGAAATCCATGCCCGACTGAGAGAGATCTGGGCCGACAGAAAGCAATTACTTTCCAGAAGTTTAGTCTGGAGTTGAGAGACGTTCCACAGGCCAAGAGGGAACCTCGAAATAATTGAGTCCTCGCCCGACAGAAAGCGAGTTTCTTTCTGACCGTCCTGAGGTATGCTAAGACGGAGTCAACGGCTGACAATGAGTTTCCTGATGGGAAAAGGAAACTCGCCGTCTAAAATGAGGAGTTCACAGCCACGGAATTTATTCCTATGCTTTCTCCATTACGGCTGAGCTGAAAGAAAAAGTGACCTTTGTCTCTTGTCCTTTAACATCTACTGCCACTACTTTACACGAGCTTGTCAACACTTCTCCGGTGTTCACCAGTGTCGAGTGGGACCCTTGACAGCTGTTGTTCTTGGCTGCCTCACTCCGCCACCGTCTTACGAAAGCCTCTGGTGTGTTTTTAGAAATAATGAGCCAAAAGTAGCACGAATGATCTCAGCGTTACTACTATTATCGGCAGTCTCGTGGAGAGAAATATTGTGATCATTAACGTCCATCTTGAGGCCGCAGAGGCGTCTGTATCCTCCTTGGCCCAAAACTGCCTGGTCTGTGGTCGGGGAATCTTCACCAGCTCTAGTCTCCTTGTCCAGATCTGTGATGGGCAAAATATATTTTATTGTTGTTCTAAGACAAGGTCCGTGACCAAGGTAACCACGGAGAGCAAGAAGCTGTGTCCTTGGCAGCCGTGGTTGTGGTTCAGGTGATGTACTGCCCTCCTGCTCTCGTCTCGGAGGGGGTGCGCCATTATGTGACGAGGTCACAAGCAATCACTAAACACCGGCCCTGACCGGCGCAGGCATCGAGAGAGAGAGGCGGCTATGGTGAGGGAGAAGATTATAGGTATTATTATTATATTGATAATTATGCCCAAAGTTCGATGAACGCGTCCAGCAGCGTTGAGGACGCATCTCTCCTCTCGCCCAGCAGGAGATCCGCAGCTTCTCCAGGCACCATCCTCTACCCTCAGAAGGAAGCTAATTTTTGTAACTGTTACTCGCAAAAATGTTTACACTTCGTGATTCTGATATAGCATATGTGACATGCGTGCGAATGTCACACACCACACACACACACACACACACACACACACACACACACACACACACACACACACACACACACACACACACACACACACACGACAATTAACACACACACACACACACACACACACACACACACACACACACACACACACACACACACACACACACACACACACACACACAGACAATTAAGTGAGTACAATTAGGTGAGTACGCACACACACACACACACACACGCGCGCTCGCTCGCTGGGGTCCGCTGGTAGCTGATTGGACAACGCGTGGAACTCGTAAACATGAGGCCCGGGTTCGATTCCCAGCGCCAGCTAGGAGCAATGGGCAGAGTTTCTTTCACCCTGATCTCCCTGTTACCTAGCAGTATGTTTTGACCATACATACACCAGTGTAAATTTATGGTGTAAGTGTATGTTGCGGTCAAACTATTAGGCACAATACTTGCTTAGCTTACTCTTGTATTAGTAATCTTTTGTGAAATAGCATAAGCTTATGGTTGTTCATGCACCTATATGCTTGAGGTGTGTGAATATATATGGTTATTTTGAGGTTATCTTGAGATGATTTCGGGGCTTAGCGTCCCCGCGGCCCGGTCCTCGACCAGGCCTCCATTTTGTTATACACACCCCAGGAAGCAGCCCGTAGTAGCTGTCTAACTCCCAGGTACCTATTTACTGCTAGGTAACAGAGGGGAATCAGGGTGTAAGAAACATTTTGCCCATTTGTCTCTGCCTCCACCGGGGATCGAACCCGGAACCTCAAGACTACGAATCCGAAGCGTTGTCCACCCAGCTGTCAGCCGCCGTTGTAGTTTAAGTCTTAAATGATAATCGACCGGTACTCCTGGCACGCCTCCCACATCCCCCCTGCCCCCCCTTGACCCGAGGTGAAGTGCCTCCAGCAAGTATTGCCACATGTACAGTGAAATGACTGCCATATGTGTTTACCACATATTGTTATATACCCTTATGTACCTGGAGGGTTTTTATGTACCTCAATGTATCATGGATACATTTTACAGTAGACTGCGTGACGTTACAGGGTGACGTTAAAGGAAGACATTACAGGGTGATGTTACAGGGTGACGTAATAGGGTGACGATACATGGTGACGTTACAGGGTGACGTACGTTACAGGGTGACGTACGTTACAGGGTGACGTACGTTACAGGGTGACGTACGTTACAGGGTGACGTTAAAGGGAGACATTACAGGGTGATGTTACAGGGTGACGTAATAGGGTGACGATACATGGTGACGTTACAAGGTGACGTACATTACAGGGTGACGTTACAGGATGACGTTACAGAGTGACGGTACCGGGTGATGTTTCAGGATGACATCACAGGGTTACGTTACAGGGTGATGTTACATTGTGACGCGACAGGGTAACGTTACAGGGTGACGATACAGGGTGATGTTACAGCGTGACGTTACACGGTGACGTTACAGGGTGATGCTAACGGGTGACGTTACACGGTGGCATTACAGGGTGATGCTAACGGGTGACGTTACAGGGTGATGTTAAATAGTGACATTACAGGATGATGTTGCAGGGTGACATTACAGGTTGACGTTACAGGGTAACGATACAGGGTGACACTAACGGGTGACATTACAGGGTGATGCTACAGGGGTGACGTTAAAGGTTGACGTTACAGGGGTGACGTTACATACGACGTTACAGGTTGACGATACAAGATGATGTTACATACAGGGTGATGTTAGAGGTGACGTTAAAGGGTGACGTTGCAAGGGTGACGTTGGAGGTGACGTTACAGGGTGACGCTACAGGGGTGACGTTACAAGGTGATGTTACATAGTGACGATACAGGGTTGACGTTACATGGTGAGGGTGACGTTGCAGGGTGAAGTTACAGGGTCATTTTACATGGTGACGTTACAAGAGGATGTTACAGGGAGACGTTACAGGGTGACCTTTCAGTGTGATTTTACAGGGGACTCTTTTGTAGGGAGATTCCTGAGCGGGCCCTAAGCCTCTGGCTGGCCCACTAAGTGTTGTCTGTTTCTCTTTAACTTCGACGGAGTATGAGCATTTATGACTCGTATGGTCGCCTCAGTAAGATTTAGTCCCGTGTGTTTAACAACTTCTTTTGCTCTGCTCTGTTGAATCTAAGTTGAAATCTTAATGGGTTTGTAACTGTGCACTGTGTTAGAAAATGTTCCTGTGGTCTGTCGGGCATTTCTCCACAGTTCTGACATTTCCTCTCATCTTCCGGAACCTGTAAGCCTATTTCCCATGCACATGGGTATCCAAGCCTGATGCGATGTAAGTGCACTTCTGTTGCTCTACTTCTCCCTTTCATCAAACTAAGTGGTTCGTAGTTGGTTGAATTCTTGTACCAACCCGCAGGTCCTGATGTTGCAACTGCTGTGTTGTGGTCACTGTACATCTTTTGCATTGCTCTGTTTCTAATTACTTTCTTAATCTGTGATAGACTCTGTGGTATGTAAATGTCTACATTTCTTCTCTTAGTTGCAAGTTTTGCAGCTTCGTCTGCAATGTCATATCCTATTATTCCCACATGACTTGGCACCCAGTTGATAAATACCCGTCGACCTTGTCGTTTGAGTGTTTGCATTAATGATATGACATTTGTGATTAGATGTATGTTATCACATATGTGTTCTTGTTGCAAGGTTTCAGTGGCAGTTCTCGAATCTGTATGTATGATAACATGTTGTCGGTGTTCTGCAAGAACATGTTCCAAAGCCTTTAGAATGGCTAGCATCTCTGTAAAGTTAAACACCCATTTGAGAGTCTCCAACTAACTACATAATTTCCTGCCATAACTGCAGCTCCAGTTCCTTGTCCCTGCTGGTCTACTGATCCATCTGTGAAGTATGTGAAGCTGTAAGATGCCAAGTTTGCTTTTATATACCTCTGTGCAATGTTACGC